AGCTTCAATTTTTCACGAACCAATTTTCATCATACGCAGGTGCTTGTTGGGCGTTTGCGCTGGTGGCAAGTGTGGAAGCGGCATACGGCATTGCCTTGAATGCACAGGCACCGCAGCTGTCAGTGGAGTCACTCTTTGCAGCCATGGGGCTCACCTCCGAAGCTGACAAGTGCAGCACGGGGGGCTCCCCCACCGAGGCGTTGGAAAGGCTTCTCATGCTGCCTCGCGGTGGAGTCACAGAGGTTGGAGCGCCTATGAGTAGTGTGGTGAAGTGTGATTCTAAAGATTTGAAGTGGTGTGCCCGACGTTGAGAGAGTTGCGACTATACTTCAACTGGTGATATGAGGACTGTCTCTAAGTTGGAATATACGCGTACAGCGTATATTCGCGTATCGTATATACGCTAACGTACATACGCTATCCGCTTAGGGGTTCGTTTTGGAGATACGCCTTTTCGGGCAGAGAAAAAACTTTCCGGGCAGGGTGAAATAAAAGTATTCCCTATTCTCACTAAGGCTTGCCCTTGCATAATCCTGAATCCGAATGATGAATGCAATGGGAGGTGGAGTAGACATAATAGCTAGAAAGCGAAGTAGCGTGAGTGAACTCTAGTGAAAGCGGGAACCAAATGACGAGTTAGGGTTAGCCAACAGGGCTTGCAGGTAAGTACCGCGAGATTTGTTGGGGGGTTAATTTTGACAGGTTGGAGTTCGTAGATAAAGTGGGGTTCAATGCGGTAGAAGGGATGGATTTCAATGCCTAGATGGGATCTGAAATTCAACATTTGCCTGACGACTTCGTCAGATCCCCGTTTCCCTGGACCGCGGATTTGAATTTCAACTACGGCGAAATGCTCACCTAGGAAATCCGCATATTTTTTGCGATTTTTTTTTCCGGCAGCCCTAAAAAGAGCGTATAGCGTATTTGCTAGCGTATAGCGTATAGCGTGTGTACGCTAGCATACATACGCTGTACGCTTAAGGTGTTAAGCGTATATTCCAACTTAGGACTGTCTCCGAGTCGTTGAAGCCACTGGCATTGGTTGCAACTTATAACCGAGTTGAACTAATTTTCCATTGGCATACGAGTGGCCCTGCAGTCTGATACGCAATGATAGATTGGCCTGATCGGGGCCAAGAGACCGAGTTATGGCAGCAAGAGGCAAACAGCTTCTACCAAGCATGATCAACGGTCAGCTAAGGTCGGCTTGCCACGAGCCGGAAGGGGCCGAGCCAGACTTAAGAGTTCCATAACATTCAGAAGGCAACGTATAGAGTACAAAATGAATATTCTAATCATTTTGTAATGCACCCAACATTCTGCTGCTTTCTATGATTGGCCGCCATCATTTTCCGCAAGCAAACTTTTGTTTTCCATTGTGACCTCCTTTTATGTTTCTTTCTCTTCCTTCCTATCCGTAATTAAATCCCCTATGAAATGTTCATCTTCAGAAAAAGGAGTACCCTATTCATGGCTTTGAGCGCACAAGGTTCAAGGGGTTTGTGGGGCTCATGCTGGCAGTGCGTCGACAGCCAGTGGTGGTTCACATTGAGGCTTCTGCTCTGAGTTTTGCACGATATGACGGGGTGGGTGTTTCTTGCGTTGACCCTTCATTCTGTGCACAAGTTGTCAAGAGTTGTACAGAAGTTGTTGTTCGCATTACCTGTATGCCAAAAACCAACCCAGGGTAGTACACAAGCTGTTACCAGCATTAAGCTGTATGCCTGAAGTGGTACTTTGTTGTTTGTTGTTTCATCCCTCCATAACTGTTGTGGTGCCCCCTTTCTCTTCAGACCTTCAAGTACCAGGATCCTGGTTGCTACACCGGCAGACTGAACCACGTTGTACTCGTTATCGGATACTTCATCTTGAGAAATGACGGCAGCCAAAATCGCATAGCGCCTCCATTTTGGATCATCCGCAACTCGTGGGGAGTGGAGTGGGGTGACCGGGGCCACATGCGCATGGACATTCAGGGAGGGGATGGCGTGTGTGGCATCAACGTGCTGCCTGGCATCTACCCCATTGTCAAGAGTGAGGCATTTATCTCGAGGTGTTGAGTGGGGCATCTACCTCGAGGTGTTGAGTGAGGCATCTACCTCGAGGTGTTGAGTGAGGCATCTACCTCGAGGTGTTGAGTGAGGCATCTACCTCGAGGTGTTGAGTGAGGCATCTACCTCATTGTCTCAAATGGGGCACCTTCCCCCATCGCTCTCTCCATATCTCAGTCCCCCCCTTCCAGTCCATCACAATGTGTTTGGGGCAGGGTGAAATTCACAGAAGAATTATGTAATTAGTCTTTAGTCTAGGGGATGGCCTCAAATTTGGTATATGGAACACAGTGGAATGGAGGCATTGTCAACAGAGAGAAGAGAGTGTGAGCCAGTCACCAATCGCCAACTCACGGTTTCCAGATTTCACACCTGCCATTTGCCTAAGGCTTGCCTTTTCCTGCCCACGGTCGTTTTCAATGAGTTTGCACTCGCGCCTGTTTCTACACCTCCTGCTTCTATCTGTACCCCCCTCCAGTCCCCAAGGACCCTTGCGGCCAGAGGAGCTTCAAGGGTGATGGTGACCTGCAGCCCAGCATGAATCCGTGTGGGCGGTTCACATGCCACGCTAACTTACGGAGCAACAGCAATTCGTGTGACTGTTCCATTCCAAACGAATCTAATCAGCCATTTGTTCAAGTTGCAAACGGATATGGCTCTCAAACGTGTGCTTACTGTAAGTTGTTTGGTTCAAGTTCTCAAATGATAACTTTTATTCATGGCCCTTGTCAAAACAATGGCCGTTTTTGGAACAATGGGCTTGTTTGATCTTCAGATATTCTTTCAACCAAGTCCCTGTCTATATCTTTTCGTAGTTTTATCTCTCCTTCCCCCTACTCTTCCCATTGCTCCCAACACATGTATCTCTCTCACCACTGTGCTCCACAATTGTGTTTATGTCGCTTGGCAGTGGATGTGTGTGGGTCTGACTTGAAGAACCCATGCTACGTGGGCGCTTGCATCAACGACGGCAAGGGCTCCTACTCCTGCATCTGCCCCCCCAACTACGTTGAAAGCACAATCATTGATAGCTTCCCCACCTGCGACCCAGGTGCTGCTGGCTTGGCATCGTTTGTAAGAGGGTCGCTACTTCTTTCAGTTCTTCATGAATCATATGTTGGGGTCATTACAACCCGTGCACACTTGTTCTATTGTCAATTCATGTGATGCACACACAACTAGTAGTTTTGTTTTCTTGATTACTTTCTCATGCGTGTGTGTTCTCCTGCTTTCACATTCATCGCTTTCCAGCCAACGTCACAGCCAGCACCCTGGCCGTGAGTGGGAGCAACTGGTGGTGCCCCGCTGTCCTCTCTATTGTGGGCCTCTCACTTCCCCAATTCACACAGCAGAATCAGGTAACCAATGGAGATGGGGGGCCTGGAAGAGTGGATTGGCAGGAAAGGCTAGTGGTTGATTCCTCACAATGGAATTCTAAGTCCCATAGCTGCTTATCTACAGTTTATGAAATCGTCAATGTGTGAAATGAAAACAATCACAAAAGCAATATTGCTACACCTTCACTTCATAGCTTTGTCTTCCTGTGTCCATTTACTTCCTGATTCGTCATGCAAACGATGTGCCATCCCCTGAAGTGGTGACTAAAGAATCGTGTGTGCTCCTCATTGCAGGGCATTGACTGCAATCAGGCTTTGCCTCGTAACATGGTGCTTCAGCTGGGAAATCCTCTCCTCGTTCCCTGCACTGCGTTCTTCTACAACCTTAGTGTGAGAGTTAGCCCTTTTTGTTTCTATTCGTTGAATGGAATCTCATCAAATTATTTTTCTATGTTTCCCCACTCTGCTTTGCTTAGCTCCGCAAGACTGTCGCATAGTAAAGCTGCGCTCCATTCACCTCAAGCATCTGTGCCTTCTCTCCCGTTGTTCAACCCTCCAGGGCGACACATGCTGGTCCATCAGTGCACAGCTGTTCCTCACCACCAGCAACCTCACGGCACTCAATCTCGGCCTTGACTGCTCTGAGCCCATCAAGGCGGGCCGCTCTCTGTGCGTCGAGCGCAACGCCACCTTCGCCTTCACTATGCCTCGGTGCCTACGTTACGGCGTGCTTACAGCACAAGACACGTGTGAACGCCTGCTGCTGGAGGCGGGGAGTGAGGACGACCCAACGGGGGCTGGGAACGTGAACGCTGTGCGCTGGGCTGAGCTGTACCGCAACAATCCCGGCCTCATCTGCTCGAGTGTCATCCCGGTCTCCGCCTCTGCTGTTGGCAGCAACACTGGCGTGCAGGTGAGAGGTGGAGGTGAACTGGGTTGGGGGCGCAAGAGATGGGAGGGAAATGGAGGGAAGATTGGTGGATGGACTAAACGTATACTTGATGGATGTTGGGGCAAGGAGTCATTTCTCATATGCCAGCGTGGTGTTTTTTCCAACTATTTTCCCTTGATTGCCTGTTGAGTGTGTGCCTATCTCTTTCTCTCAATACATGTTTTTTTTTCATTTCTTGTGTTTGTAAATGTCGCCATTCAGATTTGCCTAAGGGCAGAGTATTGGTCATTCGTCGTTGGCATATGCAAGAAGGGCAGGCAAAAGCCAGTGTCACCATCATTGACATGCTCAGGTGCTTACAGTTTTTATGGTGGAGCTGCCAATGGAGCAATTTCAAAATATTACGTGTACAATGAGAAGAAGTGTGTTGGGAGTGTAGGGTCCAAGTTCATTTGTGTGCCATGATTAGGAGCTCAGACGGGTATGGAACGGGGACTACATTTGGATTTCGACTTCTCTGATTAGCAGTGTAGCCTTTTCAGAAACCCTGATTATCAGCCTACGTTGTTGAGGTTACTTTTAATCATGTGCAACCACTGCTAAATATATATATATATATAAATATTTAATAAAAATCGAATGTGGTTCAATGCGATTCAATGCGATCGGATGTTATTATGCGCGTTAACTCCCTGCCGCTGACTGAAGCCAGGGTCAGGGTCAGGGTGACAGGGTCTTTAGGCCCTCGTCCGTGAAGGTGACGCGCAGGAAGTGGTGCGCGTGGGGGCGGTAGTGCGTGAGCACGCGGTTGGTCAGCTCCACGCCCGGCAAGCAGCACTGCGCGCCCAGCGGTGTGATGAGCAGCCGGAACACCACCACGTGGTTTGCTGGTAGCCTCCACGGCCACGTGCTGCTCTCCCCTTCGCTCGCTTCCCCTGCCTTCTCCTCCGTGTCTCGTTGTTCCTGCTGCGACTGCGGCTGCAGTTCCAACTCTCCCACAACTGACCCTTGCTGCTCTGCTCCCCTCTCACTCTGGTGCTCACGCGTCCCTTCTGGTTCCTTGGCTCGCCCCGTATCAGTGCCTCCTCGCGTCTGCAGCCTGCCGTGGTGGCGCATGGCGCGGACGATCTGGCAGAACTTCCTGGCGGGGTCGAATTCAGGGCGGAAGAAGCGGAGGAACTCCATCAGCACCGCCACGGCAGCGGGCACAGGCTCGTACGCCGGAGTGCGGTACAAGGAGGCAGTCACGGCAGTGGGGGGGATTGTGCCTTGCTGTACCAGCGCTGTGAGCAGGTACAGCACTGGAAAGGCCAGCACAGCTGGCACTGCAGACCCCCTGCTGCCGCCACTGCTGCTGGTGGTAGTTTTGGTGTTGGTGCTGTCAGCTGGGGTGGTGACGGCACGGTGGTATTGGGGAGCGAGGACGGGTCGAGCGAGATGAAGAGGGTGAGGTGGATGGGCGGGGCGGCAGCATAGTGGGCGGTGATGGCGACGCGCGGTGGGTTGCCCAGGTAGCGTGCTCTGAGGTGCAGCAATGCAGTGCGCATGTGCTCTGCTATGCGCCTCACATGGATGCCATGCCGCACCGACACTGACACCTGCATCACCGACGCCGCTCCCAACACCCCTCCACTCCACACCCGCCCCTTCCACCCACTCACGCCACGGCCTCCACTGCTACCAGGCCCACTGTCCCACCGCCTCGCACCAGCACCTCCCCTTCCATCATCCCCAACGCCCACACACGCGCCTGCTGCTGCGCTTGTACAAGCGCCCGCCCTCGCCCCCGCGGGGAGGAAGTGCTCGTCAGTGGTTCGGGTCCACGGGTCGCCATCATCAGGGAACCATCTGTCGGGCTCCAGCTGCCACACGTCGTCGTCACATGCACGTGAGAACACGGCAGGCGGCACAAAGAGCAGCAGCAGCAGCAAGGAGGTGAGGCCGGGCCCGTCTGTGTCGCGGGGGGTGCCGTCCTTGGTGCCCCACAGGCGCACGTCCCGCATGCGCCACTCCAGCTTGTACTCCACTCGCTGGAACGCCAGGGGGATGGACGTCAGGGAGCCACCACAGAGCGCTGCACCTGCATCCTCCCTTGCACCCCCCTCTCCTGCCGCGCGGCCTCCCCACCCTACACCACCCCTCCCCCGCTCACCCGCCTTTGCCTGCACCACCACCCGCACGCGCCTCTTCAGAAAGTCAAACTCCACGCAGCAGCTCTCGGGCTTGGAGCGTCACGTCAGCGCCAGCTGGCCGGGCTGGTGGATGAAGCCGAGGTGCACATTGGCGTGGGAGAGCAGCCCCTCAGGCTCGCGGCGCTGCTCCATGGTGCACTGCAGTGCCAGCTGCTGCCCTTTCAGCACCAGCGCCTCCTCCCTCGCCATCACAAACTCCGCCACCTCTGCTGTGAGGAAGTCTGCGTACCCATACCCTGCCGACACCCACTCCTCCCGGTACCGCGTCCCCCCCACCACTGCTCTCTCCCCTGCGCCTGCTGCCCCCCCTGTGCTGGCTGCGCTTGCTGTGGCTCTGCCAGCGGGCAGGGCGCGGATGCGGGTGTACCCCTTGATCTTCACGCGGTCCACAATCACGCCCAGTGTGTCTCGCACAAACGTCGCCACTGTCTCCGCGGACGTGTCCGGTGGAATGCGGTCGATGCGGATCTGAGCCGTCGGCCTGCGACTGCTGGGCCTTTGACCGCCGCCCCTGCCGCTGCTGCCTCTGTTGCGAACCCCGCTGTTAACAGCAGCACTGCTGTTACTCTTGCTGCCACTTGCGGTGGTGGGTCCAGTGGTGTTGGAGGGTAGCTAGGCAGCAGAAGCAGCAGCAATAGATGAGCCAGCATCGCTCTTCCCGCCCTCCCCCTCACCAGCACCAGCGCCACCATGCACAGCAAGCCCGGGGTTGCGCAGGGCAGCAGGCCAGGCCATGGCGTGAACATCAGCAGTGAACGCCGCAGCAGCAGTGGGGCCAATGAGAGCGGCGTCCAGGTGGCTCACATGCGCGCTGCTGCCCCTGCCCGTGTTCGTGCTCGTGCTAGCAGAGCTGCTGCCCCGCGGGGAAATCATGGCGCCCACATGAGGGCCACCCGCGAACTCCACACTCGCGCTGCTCTCACTCCCTCTCCGCCACCTCCCGCTGCCGCCCTCCCTACCCCTGGAGTCATGCCTATGCTCATATCTATCCTCGTGCCTATTCTCATGCCTATTTTCATAACTATTCCCATGCCTATTCACGTACCTATTCTCGTGTCGACGCTCGTGCCCCTGCCTCTCCCGCTCTCTCGGCGCAAGCGACTCCCCGGGACCACGCCCATGGACGCTGCTGCTGGGCTCGCGGAGAAGGGCGGAGCTGGTATTTGCGCCAGTAGGACCTGCGACAGCGGGCGCCGCGCGTTGGGAAGGAAACGCGCAATCCATGCTCTCTGTGGCCGGCACGGTTGCAGCCAGGTGATGGAAGATACAGAGGAGAGGTGGGAGGAGTGGAAAGGGAAGAAGCGCTCGGGTTCTGTTGACATGGTCGCGATGGGTGCACGTGAGCAGTCACAGAGAGGCGACGAAGAAAAGTTGGGGTGGCACGGGGGAAGAGGAGGCGAGGATGGAGCGAGGAGCAGGGAGAGGAATGTGGCAGGCAAGCCAGTGAATCAGTTCAAAGGGGAATTTGCTGGTCAGCAGTTGCAGCAGCAGGATGATTAGGAGAAAGAGAGCTTGACGAACGAGGCACACCAGTAGCACATTTAGCACTGGTATCTTCCCCGAACTGCTCACTTTCTCCAAGGAAGCCACCTTGATGGTTGTACCCGCCCTTAGCTCAGCTTGCTCAACGGTCACGTCGGAAAAAAAAAAAAAAAAACACACACACACACACACACACTTGCTGACCAGCAGCCATGAAACGAACTTGCTGCTTCCGATTTGGCAATTCTTGCTCCACCACCTTAACCCATCTTGACCTCTCTATGGACAACGTGCCGCACACAGCAGACAGCAGTTGGGCAGGTGGGACTGAAACAAACGGTTGAAAACAGATAAGAGAAGCTCGTCAGGAGCAAGAGTGAGAGATATGTCCATGTGTGATGCAATCCGCTCAATCCCGAAGCTATTGTTATTCAAACGACCGTCATCTGTGACGCACCCTGCGGTCTCGCCACATTCGTACGACCGTCAGATCCACAGCTCGTCGGACCAACTAGGATTCGAGAGTATTCCGGTAATTGATGTCGGTTGCTGCAAAAATCTTCTCGAATTCGCTAAAGCCAGCCAATAGTACCTTCACTCATTTTCATATTCGCGAGGCGGAAAGGCTGGTCGGAACACTCTCCCGATAGATGACTTGACTCTAACAAGACTGTGATCGCTAAGTAAGCTGTGATCGTGATCAATGAAATATTATCAGGCCAAACATGCGACGCTTTCCGATTCATACGACGCTATGCGACGTGTTCCCAATGCCCGTGCCATGCGAGGCTTCTGCAATTGTGACCATCGTTCTCTACATCCAATCATGCTCAGTCGTATGGGATAGATAAAGTGCTTGACGAACATGCTTATCGCATAAGACGCTGCCCGCCATCCTAGGACCGCCGATGCGTCGCCTGAAGACGTTGAATGCTACCATGGAATCGGTGACCATGTCCAATCAGAAATGTGACTGGACAAGCACAATCAGACCGTCCGTTTCTGCTGAAGTCTAATCGGGTGTACAGTAATACTCGACGATGTGTCTGTTGATGTAAACTGTCGTCTCGCGACGACCTAGAGTCGATGTTGCCATGGCCGAAAAGCGAATGCCTGATGAGATTTGTCCCCTCCTCGCTCTTTCATTCGGTGGCAGCCCCAAAACAACCCAATTATATACACACGGGTGACGTCATCACATGCCGCCCCGCCCCGCCTGGCACAAAGGGAATTGAGGCAAAACGAAAAACCCTACAAATCCCTCCGGGCCCCTAGAAATTCCCGGCTGACCAGGCCAAAAAACCCTCCGAAACCCGCGGGTTCAATGTCGTATTCTTATTCTCATATATATGTCGGCTGAACTGTTGCAATTTCGGGGACATTTGTCGAACAGTGCTCGACGGACATTGGCCAATCGCCGTCGAGCACCGTGCACCCCCGACAACACTTTTTACACCCGGTGGCATGTCGCCCACACGATGGCGCTGACGGCCGACGGTTGCGAAATACCAACTGTCACAATCAACAGAGACGTCAACTGCGGCCGACCTGTCGCCTCGTCGGTCGAGCGAACTGTCGCTGTCGGATGGGCGACGGGTTACGTCTGTCGGAGTCAAACGTTCACGTCAACTGCTGACTGCCACGTCAAATGTCTCAGTCTCCACGGGGAGCAACATCAGCCCAAGGTCACTGTATAAACCTGAATTCATAGTAGAAGCACCACACTTTCCTCAGCAGGCCAGGATTTAGGGAGAACTGCTAGCCTTCGGTGGGCACTGATGGAGACCGATCCGTCGACGACAGCGCCTTCCCGGCAGGCGGACGTAGGACGGATACCTGTCGAATTGGAGTCCATCTCGACACCACCCCCTTCGTCGTCTGGAGCCACGCCGGTTTCTTCCGCGCCCCCTTCGACGACGCGTGCCATACCGGAGGTGGCAGCGCCCACCTCGACATCGCGAGCCATACCGGTAGTAATACAGCCGGTTGTTACGGACCAGCGTTCGACGGGTATTCCGGTCACTGTTGAAGTGGGTGGTGCACAGACCGAATTCCCTTCGACAGGTCAATCCATACCTGTTGTCGTAGAACCCATCTCGACAACAAATGCCTCCTTTACACACGAGGCTCCTGCTCACCGTGCACCATCGTCGACAGCCCACGGCTCGACGGAACCTTCAGCTGGTGCACCGACCTCGACAGGTGGGCGACGTAGGAGAGCGAGGGCTGTTCCGCCTGAGGTTCGCCAACCACCCCCTGCCGGCACATCCGCTTCTCGAGCCGGCCCCGCCGCTCCTAGGCGCACTTCGACGAGACCAAGCAGAGAGGACTTAGCCAGGAACGTCCCTGAAGCGACGGACGATGACGATGTTCGGACGGAAGAACAGCAGGAGGCGGACGATGTCGAACCGCCAGACCCTCTGCGGCCTGCTGCGGCAAATATCTCAGAGGAGGATGCCGCGCACATTCTCGGCGACCAACTGGGCGCAGACAATCCGTACTTGGCGACCGGAACACTTAAAAGCAGGATTCTCCGGTGTGAGGTTCCGCTGCTGGGAGTTGACCAGGATTCCACACGGCCGAACTATGTCTCTGGAAGCATGCACTACAAAGCTTGGGCCTGTAAAATTCTGGCACCCGAGGGAAGCAACGGAGTGCCTAAAGAGGAGCAGGTGATCTACGAGGACGAGATCGGTAGGGAGATCGGCGACGATATGGGGCCGAGATGGAGGGAGGCGCTGCGTAACGAGGAGCACCTGCATGGGCCGAAAATAACAAAGTGGCGCTTGCGCGCGTACGTCGAATACATGTCGAGTGAAACCGACCAACAGGTGGCTTCGTTGGACACAGGCCGGACCAGAGTCGCTGGAAGGAAGGCGAAAAAAAGCACCCCTCCGATGATGCTGGCGCGCCTTACTGCCCTGACGTGCTTCTGCAGAGTAGAGGCCATACTCTTCGACGAGCCACTAACGAAACCCTTGGACGACATCACCGAGGCCCGGCAGCTTCTTGCGGTCAAGCTGTGGTAGCTGCACGACTTTCAGTTCGAGTAAGTAGGCTGCCATACATCGGACTCTAAAACTTTTCACTCAAATTCTCACCCAACTACTCGCTGTATCTGCCCACTCAATGCAGGCAGTGCGTCGATCCACACTGGGGCTCGCTCGACGATGTTTACATGGAGGAGCAGTTCCGCATTCTCGTTTCAGACATCCTGCCGTACTAGGCCAAGGAGTACTTTCGGGAGTCGATGAGTTACCCCAGTCAGTCGCTGTGGAGGGCCTTGGCCGTGAGGGCGATGATCCTGATGGCGCATCACATGCTGGGCAGGGGGATAAGCATCCGCAAGATCCGCTACTGCAATATGTTCACTCACGTCCTTCCGCCCATCACGAACAGCAAGGGGGAATCGTCTATCCACGTTCTCGTGGTCGCCTATCGCAACTCGAAGACCATCAAAGACAACAAGCTCGGCCACCTATACCTGACTCGACACATGGACTTCCGGCAGTGCGACTTCAGAGCAGTGTTCATGTGGATACATTTCATTTTCGACCTTGTGCCGCTCTACTACAACAACGATAAGATCGTGCCCCCCTTGGATTTCAGCAACCCGGAAAATTGGTCAAAGAAGCACCTGTTCTTCGCCCTCTTCGACAAAGACAAGACCGAGTTGCCGTACGCGACTCATGCCAAATGGGTTACCTGGGCGATGAAAAGCGCGGAGTGGATCCTGTCGAAAGTCACACATATCTTTCGACGGTCTGCGGCACAGATCCTCGCCGACAAAAACTGTGAACTCGACAACATCGCGCAGCTGGGTCAATGGGACATGAACGAGATGCGCAGGTCATACGTCACAGGCATCCCGCGCGGGGCCATCCAGCTGCAAGCGGGTTTCACGACGGAACCGGGTGACTATTACCTTGGAAGATCGAAGAGCGAAGTACCCGCGAAGGTCCTGAAGGCTATCGAGGAGCACATATTTCCAGAGGCGGAGCAGTGGCTCGACGAGGTATGGATGCGTCGAGCGCATAGCGTGATCATCGAATGCAAGTTTTGCCCATCTATCTCTCAATGTCACCACGTTTGTTCTTGTTCAGGCGATGGAATGGAACAACGAGCAGGACAAGGAGCATATGTTCTTCGCAGCGAAAAGTTTCTTGAAGGCCCTGCAAGCCGTCCGAATGCCCATCGCCGAGGATCTTGCGATGTACTACGTCCATTGTGACGACCACCCCTTCGACGGAGTAACTGTTTGCGACTGCGAGCGTCACCCTTATGTACAGATGTCCGGTTTGTGCAAGGACATGGATTTCCAAAAATGGGCGCTTGACGTGTACCTACTCGACAAATACGTCATCGAGATGCGGACCAACCCCACGCTGTCGAAAGCTTCGGTAAGATGGCCCTTCTAAGAAGGCTGTAGGATGAAGTCGTCCCATTTCGACAGAATCCGGCGCACCCCATGCACGACACGAGCTGCCGCGCCGTTTTGATAGGGGCTCGACAAGGCCGTCGTCGTCTGCGATGGGTACAAAACATACGTAAGCGACAAAACACATGCTCGACGAAAACGCTGTTGGTCTAAGGAGAGCTTACCAGATGGTCGAAATCCTCGTTCAACTCCAGACGAAGGTCCATCACCTTCAACACTTCTTGGTCGTCCTCGGTCAGAGCCTGGTGGGTCATCGCGTACTCGGTGCGAAGCTGCTTCTTCATCCACCTGCGACGCAGAGGACAGAAGAGTAAGATTGTCGAGAACAGCAGCTCGACAGCAGGGTTGCAAAGCTGTCACTCACACGAAAACTTCTTGCGCCAGAGAAGATTGGTGGTTCAT